CTGGATTAAAAAAAATGTGGTACATATACATGATGGAATATTATACAGTCATAAAGGACAGAATTATGAACTTCGCAGCAACTTGAATGGACTTAGAAGCTATAATACTGAGTGACTTATCACAGAAGCAGAGAACTGAGTGTTGTATGTTCTCACTCATAAGCGGACCTTAAACACTTAAAATGATACAAAAAGAAAGGAATTGGCAGTAATGGGAAACTGCCAGGGTAGGGAGGGTGGGCACATGTCATCAATGAGGATACCTGTATAATGAACAGTTGTATATCTAACCCTGAATCGTATCCCACATTTTAAAAATAAAATAAAATAAATAAATAAATAAGTACAACCTCTTTGGAAAGCAGTATAGAGATTACTCAAAAAACAAAAAGATCTGCCATTTGATACAACAATCCCACTACTAGCTATCTTACCCTAAGGAATAGAGGTTGTTTTATATATCAGAGACATCTACACCCGCATGTTCATCACAGTGCAATTCACAATTGCAAAGATGAGGAATCAACCTAAATGCCCATCAACTAATCAGTGGATAAAGAAAATGTGGTATATATGCGTACCACGGGATACTATGCCAACATAAAAAGGAATTAATTCATGTCTTTTGCAATAACATGGACGAAGCTAGAGATCATCATCCTACCTACACTGATTCAGAAACAGAAAATCATACACCGCATCTTCTCATTCACTTATGGGAGCTAAATGGTCACAAGATGGAAATGATAGACACTGTGGACACTAATAAGGAGGGAGAGAAGCGGGGGCTAGGGTTCAGAAACTACCTTTGTTGTACAATGTTCACTATCTGGGGAATGAATGGGTCACCTGCAACCCAATCCCTACCACTACACAATATGTCCATGTAATGAATACACATATGTAGTCCCTGAAAGAACTTAGGTGCCAGTGACAACTCCACACCCATTAAAGACGGAGATTTATTAAAGCGGCAGCGGCTACAGGGAAAAAAGGAAAAGGGTCTGTAACCGCTGGGTAGGGGAGGGAGAGAGAGAGAGAGCCCGTGAGAGAGGGCTGTATTTATGGGTTTGGGAGGGACTGGCCAGTGCCGTGCTTGGGCCTGGCAGGGGCTGGCCAGTGCCGTGTTTGGGTCTTATTGGAGGGGGCTATGAGGTAGTATTCCTATAGGGAGAAATTGTTTGAGCACAGGTTTAAACTTCCCACGCGGGGGAAACTGTGTGTGGGGTAACCGGAGCTTAGGGCCTTTGTTGTCTTTGTTTGGTTCTATATAGTGTTTAGTGCCACCTTGGGAGACGCCCTTCTGACTGTTCCCTGTGCCCTTCAGTCCCTAAATCTAAATATGTAAATTAAGAAAAAGAAATAGGGAGAAAAAGAGAAGAAAAGAAAAAAAGAAAAAAGGGGAAAAAAAGAAAAAAGAAGAAAAAAATGATTCACTATCAGAATTATCAGCATGGTCTAAAATTATATTATGTAAAGTTCTAAAAAGCTTCTTATTTCTGTTTTGTCTTATGATCTAAACTTTTGACACATATGTTAAAACCTGTTAAAAATTATTTTAGTCCATGTAAGAAATTTGGATTCCCTGTGGAAGTCATTAATGTTGTTCTGTAACGTTGTGGGTTTTCTCCTTCTAGGCACGTGGTAACATTGTTCTTCATGACTTATGAAGTTAGATGTGACTGTGTAACTTTAGAAAATGTGAAGTGTGTGGAAGTTGTGCATGGCATTTGGTGGGAGTCTTTAAGAACTGGAGTGATTTGTCACATTTTCTCCCATGTGTGTGATATTTCAGATAATGAAAATTCTGTCTCTAAACGAGAATGAATGTGCATCTGACACACTCATCAACCTGAGAGGCGTGTGTAGTGTGAACATGAAATAAACTTCTGATCTTTCAAAGCATGGAGATTTTGGATTGTCTGCTATAGCAGCAAAAACTAGCATTTCCTGACTGATATTTTCTTAAAAAAAAATAAGGTAGTAAATTATACATCTGAGGCATTTATAAGCCGAAGACCTTTAAAGTATTAATGACATATCAGAGTCAATACCGTAAAGTAGTCAAGAGCATGGCTTTGGAGGTATTTGGCACAGGTTTGAAGCTTGATTCTGTTATTAACTGCATAACCTTGAACAATTTACTTAAACTCTTTGAACTCAGTGTTCTTATAAACAATATAATATCCACATCATAAGATCATTATAAAAATTAAATGCATGAACATTTGTCAAGTGCATAGAGTAATGCATAGGAAGTCTTCTTTACATATATGCATAAAATATATACATACATACCAATGTGTGTAAATTGTATAGAACAGAGCCTAGTGCAGAATAATATTTTAAATTATTACTATTATTTAATATTAGCAATGTTTTAAATTATTACTACTATTTAATATTGTTAATATTTAAAATAAAATTATTGAATTGCAATCAAATACTTCATTGATAATTTTCTTAGGAAAAATCTAGCAGGAGATAGGAAAATAAAAACAAGCAAAGGAGAAAATGCAATTTTTTTTCCTGATTTTAGGTAGCAAAACCATAGGCAACTCAGGTGGATTTTACCTCTGGGAAGATGCCTGGACATGTTGCTGCTACTTTCCCTTTTAAATCAGGGGTGTGCTAAGACAGAAACACAGAGAAATGGAAAAAGACAAACTAAGACTTTTCTTCGATTATCTCTATCATCCAGAGTAAAAGGAAATAAGTCACCTGTGACTGAAGTGGAACAACCCTGCCAATGAGAGATAAGCAGCTCAGGGCAATTTCACACATCTAAGCAAAGACAGTTTCCTTGAAGTATTATGAAAGATTGCTCCTGGAATTTATCACGATGACTTATTCATAAGAATCATCTGGGCTACTTCTTTAAAAATATAAATTTCCAGAATCTCATGGTGGTGGAGGAAGAGGAGAGCTCCTGGAAGTCAGAATTTCAAACAAGTTATTTTTTGCCTGCCTGCATGTGAGAACCCCAAATCCAGTCCTGCAGTTGACTGACTAACTGAAATGCCACTGCCATCTGGTGGCCACATATCCAAATTACAGGTACCACTGTCATTGAGTGGTAGAATCAGCAATTAAAGTTTCAGAGAATCTCCCCACTCCACGGTCATGTTTAATTCTTAGTCACTTTGCCCTCTTCTACTCACAAACATATTTTTGAGTTTTCTGAATTATTTAATGTAGAGTCTATATAACAGCTAATCTTAAGGACAAGTCTCTTACCATTTTAATTCATTCCTTTTGTTAAATTGAATTCGAAAGTAGACCTTATTCTCTCTAATTATAAACTCTCATGACATGTAAATAGTTTTTAGAAGAAAAGAAATTATATACACTTATAAAATGTTCTGTAGACAGCTCTTTGTTAGAGAATCTGAGAGAGAGAATCTCAACAGAAAGAGAGAGAGAGAGAGAGAGAGAGAGAGAGAGAGAGAGAGAGGGGAATAATTCATTTTGCCCATTGGACTATATGATTATCTGTTAAGGGGGAAATAAGCAAAAGGAATTGGTATCCACAAAGTTTTCTTACATTTTCAGGGAATGCAGACTCTTAATCACATATAAAACGATTACCTCTTAAACATTTGAATTGGAATAGTACAAATTTTTCCTGGGTTACCATCATCATGAGAAATGGCTATATAGGGCAAAATGTGAACTGAAGCACTGAATCCTTAAATAAAACTGGCAATTCATAGTGTATCATAGCATTCAGACTTGTTTTACTAGGAGTCAACAAGAACCAAGCTTGGTATAGCTTTGGTTGAAATTGGGCATCATTCTGCTCAGCACCAGTGTGGCAACTGCACAACAAGATAGTTTGATAGCTCAAGATGATTTACAACTAGAGACTGTGTGTTCTCCATGAAAAATAAAATATAGGTTAACAAAGAGGATGCTAACAAATGAAATAGATGAAAGCTACTAATGGGTTATCCACAGCCAGCTTATTATTTGATACTCTTGCTGCCTCTGCAAAAACATTTGTTTGGATGGATTTGTGTAGCAATGCATTTTTTTTTTTTTTGAATTGAAGTCTCACACAGTCGCCCAGACTGGAGTGCAGTGGCCGCTCTCGGCCACCGCAGTCTCGACCTGCTGGGCTCTGGCGATCCTTCCGCCTCAACCTTCAAAGTAGCAGGAACTACAGGCTTGCGCTACCACACTCGCTAATTTTTTTGATTTATTGTAGAGATGAGGCCATGCCAAGTTGCCCAGGCAGGTCTTGAACCCGCGGGCTCAGGCAATTCACTCACCTCGGCCTCCCAAAAAGCGGGATTACAGGCTGAGCCACTGAGCCTGGTCAATGCCTTTTTAAAATAAAAAAATGATTGAGGTGAAGTTTATGTAATAGAAACCAAGGCATTTTAAAGTGAACAATTCAGTGATGTTCAATATATTAAAAATGTTTTGTAACCAACACCTCTATCTAGTATCAAATGATTTTCTTCACCCCAAAAGGAAACTCTGTACTCATTAATCAGTTGGTATGCCATTGTTTTAAGTGACATACAGAATGAATTTTAAGGGGCTATAGAATTTCAGTTTAATGTTTCAAAATGATGTTCAAAAGACGTCAGTATATGGCTTTGTCTTGACTTGAAGTGTTTGTATTCTTGCCAAAGCTTTTTTAGTCCAGTTATGTTGGTTGGGAGGAGTTCATAATCAGAGGATTTAAAGAGTCTGACATGATGCAATCAGAACACTAGTTAAACTATGGAACACTGATGAAAAAAGAATTCAATTGCGTGCCAAGTATGGGCGCTGGCTTTGAAGATAGGACACAGAAAAGCCAACAAAAATGTAGGCAGTGAGTCTGTGGGTTCCATTGTATGTGTTTTATTAGAAAATAATGAGATGATTTATGCAAATAAAGGGGAAGATGTTTAGACAGGCATGTTGTACCCACCAGCTTGAGGTATAAAAAGCCCTGGGCAGGAGGAGACCTTCATTCACACTCAGGTAACTTGTTCTTCTCCATCTATCTAAACCCTTCTCAACTCCTGCTACCATGACTCGTTACTTCTGCTGTGGAAGCTACTTCCCAGGCTACCCTTGCTATGGCACCAACTTCCACAGGACCTTCAGAGCCACCCCTCTGAACTGTGTTGTGCCTCTGGGCTCACCCCTGAACTATGGCTGTGGATGCAATGGCTACAGCTCCCTGGGCTACGGCTTTGGTGGCAGCAACATCAACAACCTGGGCTGCTGCTATGGTGGCAGCTTTTACCGGCCATGGGGCTCTGGCTCTGGCTTCGGCTACAGCACCTACTGAAGGACCATCAGCTCCAGCGACTACAGAATTCTCAAACAACTCTCTGTACACAGAACAACCTGAAGAGCAATGACTGTCTCCTTGCCTACCCACGTGCTTGGGTGGTCCATCTTTCATCTTCTTGCTGACATCTTCCTGGGGTCCCTGTCTTCCATGATGCTGGACATCTTCCTGGGGTCCCTGTCTTCCAGCACCTAATGCTGACTGGCACTCACCCACAGCCAAAGGGTGCAAGATGCATTTTTCTGTCATACCTGATTTTTAGCAGTAAAGCAAGTAGTTTGTCTCCCAAGGTTGCTCTGCATATGTATTATTAACTTCTGTATTGCAAGTTGGGTGTGGGGAGGAAGGGGTTCTGTTGTTAGGCTTCTAATAAATCTATTTCATTCAGCACAAATGTATTTGTTCTAGTTATTTATTTACTGTGTTTTTATGCTCTTAAATTCATTAACCAGTTTCATCTGGCCATGGTTGACTTCAACCAAATTTTATTCTGATTTTGGACTGTATTACCAGGATAGGATGATGCCTAAACATCCTTTTATGTTTATATTGATATTTCAATTTTAAAAATTTTCTAGAAATAGTCCAAATTCAATCCAGATACACTGCAATTGCTGTTTTTTAAAAAATGCTAATTATAAACAGGAATATTTATTAGATGTCAAATGCTAAAAAACCATTTTATTTCCTCCTTTCATTAGTGACACAATTCCATTTTGGTTCACTTCTTCCTTCCTACTGTTTATAGATCTTAGCTCTGGTGAGATTTGAACACCACAGATTATTGGAAGAATTATAACTAAATAGACTTAGCTATGAAACTCTATCTTCAGGAGTTTCTAAAATTTGTTCAATAAAGGGAAACCACTAAAAGCACATAGTAGTTTTTCTCTTTTTGATAGATGGGATTTGTTTTCTCTACCTTCTTCATCTCTGATTACATATACATATAACTAGTATGAAAAATGAAGACTGTATTGTGAATTTTGTCACTGTAAAAACACCTAAGCACACACTCTGGCCAGAAACACTGTCTTCAGGCGGGGATTTATTTATTCAACTGATACTCACCACATAGCTACAACACCAAGTATTGTCCTGAGTTTTGGAGACACAGATCTTAGAGACAAATAAAATACAATTTTTGCCTTCAAGAGTTAAATATACTTTATCTAATATTTAAAGGGCATTTGATGGTCTTCTGCTTTATGCCAATTAGTGTGTTGTTACACATTATTATCCAAAGATAGATAGATATTGCTTACTCATTTCCTTCCCAGGATTCAAAATGAGAAACAGCCTGTGATAAGAGTCATGCATATATATGTGTGTGGCTACATACATACATTTACATTTATTAGATTGCATTCTGTCAAAAGAAAGAACTCTCTTTTTTCCCTATTTTTTTGGCTTGCTTATTTACATGTATCAACACATATCAATATGGGTTCACGAATTATTATTTAACTCAATATGTTAAAATGCAGCAATATTTATTTTGACATTACAATTTTCCCAGATTTTCACAGTGAGAACACCTTCATATTGGCTTCCATGTCCTTTGGAAATGACTCCCATCACTGATCGTTTCATTACTTTCTGGATCAACAAGATATTTCAGGCTCATCTTGAACTTTTCTGCTCCAATCATAGACTCGAACATTTCTCCCAGGAGTTCTATATCTTTTATGTGGAGACTAGTATTTAGAAAGTAAGAATTGGGTGTTAAGCGTGAGCATTGCTGCACTGTCCTTGCTATATATTATATGCTATGGGAATCATTGCTATGATTATTAATCATCCTCTCGGATTTAAGAATGTCTCAATCTCTGACTGAGATAATCGAGATCCTCCAGAATTTTCACAAGTATGATAAAAAATGGATAATTATTAGGTTCCATGCTTTCTTTTGATACCAAGTTCTTAGATTTTTTTCTTTTCACTTGTTAATAAGTCCTTAGATTTTCTGGCATTTAAGAAATGATGTCAGAACTTCATTCCTAATATTTCTGCAAGTCACACCCTTGTCATTTCTTGCCTGGATTACTGCACCAGGAGCCTGTCAGTCTGCCAGGCTGTCTCCAATCCATCTTCCGTACAGTGGCACAATAATCTCTCAAAATGCAAATGTAATTATGTAGCTTTCTTTCACAAACTCTTTGGTGATTCTTTGATTTCTTACAGCGTTCAGGATCAAACAGAGGCTCACAAACCTACACATTTTTCTAGTCTTATTTCTTTACTCTCCTCAGCATGTTTCCTTTCCTCCTGCCATGGGGCCTTCTGTAAGTCTTCGTTCCTTTCTGTACTCTCGCTCATCTAGTGAACTCTTACAGATCCTTTAGAAGGTCTTCCTCCACTTCAGGGAGCTTTCCTTGCTCTAATTTAAAAGTCTTATATCTGTTTATTTTAATACCATATTTTTCACACTGCACTGTTGAAGTCTACCAACCCAAGACCACAAGGAAAACATTTATAGTCAAACAAAGTTGTGTTTATTGACTAGATGCAACACTGGAGACCATGCAACATGAGAAACAGGAAGATATCTCAAAATAAGCATGTTGGAAGGTTGTTATAGGATTTGGTCCTGAATCAGATGATCTTGAAAAGGATTAAAAGAGGCAGGTGTCTCTTCTGGATTGCACACTCTATTAGTTTTTTGTGACTGCTGTAACAAATTACCACAGATTTAGTGGCTTAAAACAATAACCTCAATTCTAGGATTGGGTGTTTTAATACTTTTTATTTAGGAGGTGGAAAGCCTATATTTGTATTGGTAAAGAAGCAGACATCACCATAAGTGATGTGTTGTCACTGAAATTTGCATAGTGTTCTTTGCTTTTCTCTCTTCTCAGACATGATTACAGAGTGGTCTTGTTTTTGTCTCACTCCATCATTGTCACAGAGTGACTTTGTCTGATTTGGTATTCTAAAACTTGTCTATGGGAGCTTGTCTTTCTCACTGGTGACTTCATTAACTCACAGCTCTAATTATACCTTGTATTCGGTAAGTTCCTTGAGGTCAAGTACTATGCTTTATTTAGTGTTATATCACCAGTGCTTTTTGAATCCTGGACATTCGGTAAATATTTGTTGAATTAATACAACTTTTTAGAGAAAAAAGTCTAATTCCCCATTACTTAAAGTATGGTCGGCAGACAGGAAACTCTGGCATCACCTTGGGCTTTCTGCATTTTTTTCAAAATGCAGACTCTTGAGCCTCTCCTCTTTTAAATAAGACCCTGAACTTTAACAAAATTCCCAGGTGATGTATGTGCACATAAAATTGGAGCACTTGCCCAGTCCTGTTGCTTCACATCCCAAAGGATGTAGAGAGAGAGGTACATCTCACTGTTGATTCTTCAAGTGTTGATGAAATGGTATTAACATTTTTATCCAAAAGGGGAAGTTTTCTTTTATTATTTTACCTATACTTTTGTTCTATTTTTTATTGCTAGTTACAGAAAACAACAGATTATGTTTTTTCATTTCCATTGAGAATAGAGAAAAAGCACTTAAAATTGTAGCAGTAGAGTTTTATATTAGATAAGGGGAAGTATTTCCAGATTCTAAAGCCTGCTAGGCAGGGACCTCTTTGGGTATTCTATAAAACTAAATGTGTTAAGTGTTGTTGTTTCTGAAAATAAGCTGTTATTTCTAAGACACCAATTCCTTTTTAGTGACTTGCCTCTGAGGCTTCTGACATTATCTTTGACAATATTATTTGCACTACCACGTCCTGTTTCTTTTTCTACCTTTTCCAATCATCCTCCCCCTTACTAACCTACTTTATAAGTGTGCCTTATTATTTTCATTTTAAAGCTTCTATGTCCAATATACTGGGGTGCAACCTCAGAATTTTCAAGACTTTCCTCATGAACAACTTTAAATTTTAAGAAATAAATCTTTTTTTGGTCATAATTTTTGGTTAAATTTATTTTTATATTTAATTTTGGTCAGCAAAGACTTTAAAGAAATAACGCTTTTGGTGATTGAGCTTGCTTTTTCATTGGTTGTTCGGCAGTAATAGAAAATATTTTTAAAAGGTTATTGGAAGGACATGACTTTAGGCTTTCAAGAGGGCAACCAATGAGTAAATAATATGAAGCATCAAGAGTCCATTCTTCAGTGAGGCTGTCTGTACATTGAGATAGCCCTACACTTCAGACTATATCCTTTACTCTTTTCACTAACTCAGCTAGCACATTTGTGTGCAAATTTATACACATGTCTAGTTTCTCGCTCTAATGCTGCCTTTATGTCACAAGAAGAGGACCTTAATTCCCACATTTTGGATCTCCAAGAATAGAGGACAGATGCTAAAAATGACCTTCATGTCCTACCAGTGGTGAAAGCTTGCACCAAAAACATATCTTCCTTGGACTTGCTTTTTCATATTGATTATGAGTCACAGATGAGGTTCTTCTGAACAGAGTCCATAAGCTTACTATGCATTCAGGCATTGTTGTGGTATCACACGATTTCTTAAGAAAACCACATGGGTTCTACATCAAATAGTAAGTTCCATTAACTAGATGCTTGCTATGGCAATTAACCAAGCAGCCTCACAAATGTGGCTTAGTTCTAAAAGAGCTGTGGTAGGAAGGTATTGAAACTGTGTCTGAAATTAGTCCAAGTCTTGGTCAGCAAATTCTGGTCCTGTCATGTGACATTTTTCAGTATATTGCCTGACAATCACATTTGATTTGTTGTGATCTTGACTTCAGACCAGCATTTCTTGACTTTGGTTCCACTGACATTTTGAGCTGAGTAAGTCTTTGTTGTGTGTGGGGGACTGTGCATTGTAGGATGTTTGGCAGCCTCCCTGGACTCTACCTATTAAATAAGAAGCACCATTCTACACTCCCGGTCATGACAAACAAAAATGTCTCCAGACATTGTCAAACATTCCCTGGGAAGCAAAGATGCCTATAATGCTGTCACATCAATTCTGGTTATTAAGCCTGGCTAAGAGAGTGTCTTTTTTTGTTTTTGTTTTTTTGAGTTGGAGTCTGTCTCTGCCCCCCAGGCTGGAATGTAGTGGCACACTCATGGCCACCCCA